CCTTGAATGTAAAACTTAGAATTAGTCACATAACTACGTTCATTTAAACTTTCTCCTCTTTAGTTTAAGTTTGATAATGTAAAGTATGCTAAATGTAAATTTAAAATTCATGTATTTTAAATAAATGCTAAAAGAATGTAAAGTTGATTAAGAGAAAGATAGAAGATATAAACTTTCACTGCCATAATCATTTAAACTTCATACACACTATTAACATTTAGGTATAAATACATGATCTCTTTTAACTACACTAATCCATTTAGTAGCAAAGAAACAGAGATATGGAATTGCTGTCAGCTAAATTGAGAAAAGAGAAAAACTTACTATTCAACTCATCTACCAACTTCAAGCCCAAACGTACCTCCCCACTTGGCAATACTGCCTGCGAGTTTTAGATTTCTTCTAGAGCTATCCTAGCCTTTATTGTAAAATATCTTGAATGGTTGCATAACTTTTTATAATAAGATGTTTAATAAAATTATTGTATTTAGATATGTCTTAGTATTTTACTTCCTTGATTTTATTTCTTTTGTCTTTTATTAAGCTAGAGAATACTATAATTCAACAAGAATGCTGATGGTCAGAGAGAAGTGAAACTGTAGATCAGATTTATCCAATTAAATGGCTAACAATAATGCACCTGGGAAGCAGCTGTTAGGAGCTCAGGCCTTATGGTTAGACACACTGAGGATTACATTCAAACTCCATCTTGAAGCTGCCAAATTATAAGAAAATTACTTAAACTTAAGTCCACCAAACCTTGTCTAGAAAGTGAAATGAGCACAGCCTTAGAACATATTACATAAATCTTTATAGGGATTAGATAACAGTTTGGATAGGAAAGGCATTTGACGTATCAGTAAATGTGTGAATGAACTTGTCACAGTTTTAGAAACTAAAGCTTAGATATTCTTCACTTAAGACAGGTTCACATTGTGTTCCCAAACACCATCTGATCTAACAGAGTGGCACATAGATCTTCTAAGTGGAAGGAGGCCTGAGAGAGAGCATAGTTCCTGATATCTAGGGCATTCTTCACTAGTCACATACACCCACAGTACAAGTGGGGACTAAGAAACTCCTGAGTATGATTAACTGTTATTGGACAAGTCAATAATGTATTTAAACTTCATATTTCTATGATTTAATTAGACTAGCAATACTTAGATGGGCCTGGTGGCATATGCCTTTAATCCCAGCACTCAGGAGGCAGAGGCAGGCAGAATCTTGTATGATTGACTGGTATACATAGGGAATTCCAGGCCAGCTAGGGCTATAGGGACTCTGTCTCAAAGATCCAAAATAAATAAATTAATTAAATTAAAATAAAAAGAATAACAATGCTTTATTTCTACCATCATGGAAAGTAGCAGAAATAATTTGCTAATACTTTGAAAAAGCAAAGGACTAAAATTTCTAAGTGATGACCACACATATTGAAAAAGAAGAAAAATATAGATACTTTATTTGCTTAAACTGCTATTGTCTTAGAAATTTGAAAAATATTGCTTTTATACAATTGAATTTACTTTGGCATCAGTGTAATCCTAGTCTACAGATAATTCGAATAAAGAAAGGGTATTAAAACAGCTCTCATGACCCAGTGTCATATTGAAATGGCAAAAATAACTCCATTTTGTTCTAGCTGAGTTTTGCTTTTCCCAGTATTTTTGTCCACCTCTTCCCGCCGCTGACAGCTAGCCATGAAGGCCACACCTATAATACGGGGAAACTTACAAGTAGCCATGGAGTATATCCAGATAGAACATCCTTTGACACAACTATACCTGCATCTCCAGGGAGCCCATTGTCACTGCAATCCCGAGAAACTTTTTATCTTAACTGAGACTTTCCATTAAAATTTATGTTTATCTAGTACCTTAATTTGTTTATCTGTTTATTATTATGGAATTGAAATATTTTGATGGCAACTTTTTGTTTCCTTTGATTTGATTTGCATGCAAGTTTGTTTAACAACATATTTGTGTGAACATAAATAGGCATTCAGCATTATTTATGGGAAAATGAGAGAGAGAAAGAGGGAGAGAGAGAAAATATTTAGAAAAAAAGAGAAAAAGTGATTTATTGGTTAAGAACAGTTGCTGCTCTTGCAGAGGACCAGAGTTTAAATGTGAGTGCTCATACTGGCCCCCTCACAACCTGCTGTGACTCCAACTCCGGGTATTCAATGGCCTCTTCTGTGCTCCTAAGGCACCGTCACACATATGTACACACACACACACACACACACACACACACACACAAACAAACAAAAAAGGAGAGATACAATATCAGCATTAAAATGAACTTTTAAAAAAGAATACTTACTTAACAAAATAGATGGTGATATTATGCTATATGTAAACACAAATAAAACTCTAAAACATGTACTTGCTCTATTGTATAAAACATGTGTCCTTAATTGTTTAGTTATTAATATTGATGTGAATCAAAATTAAAGCATGAGATAGAAACTATAGCAGTATATTTTATCATTTATTTTCCAACAATGATTACATTTCTGGTATTTCTTTTTAACTTTTCAGATTATTCCAAAATTTCTGTAGGGTGAAACCCTCACATGTATAAAGGCTTGAAATAATTTACTTGTCTTCATCATAAGCAAACTTTACTAAACATATTTCTGCATGCTATAAACTAATAGAGATGGTGGTTAATTCAGTTTCTACTCATAACACATGTGATAAAATAACAAAATATTGTTATGTTTAAAAAATAACTGCCATTCAAGATACTTATATTTTAGTTGATTGCTTTTAATTTTGTATTCTTTCAATTTTTACAAAGTAGCAAATCATCGTGTTTAACAGACCTTAAAGTCAGGTTTCTTGGGTTATTGAGCATATTTTTTTTTCATTCTGTAATAATAAAACTAGGTAATTCTTTAGTATTCTTTGTTATCATTTGTAGCCTTTCCCACCTACAGTCATTTTGAGCATATGTATTTTAGAGGGTGTGGAATTCAGAGACCCATATTTCAATTCTAGAGAGTTAAAAGCAAGAGAATTCACATTGACAGTGTAATTCTGAGCAACACTGAATGGATCCTTTCCTCCCACAAATGGACTTTCCCTACCTCATTCTA